TTTGCAGATGATATTGTGATACTTGCCGAATCCAAGGATGAAATGAAAGAATGATTAGAGAGTTCGATAAATATCCTAGAAAAGCACGGACTAAAAGTAAATAGAGAAAAGACGGAATATATGGTGATAGGAGGAGATGAAACAGAGAGTATTGATATAAATGAATGGCAGATATCGGAAATTGAAAGCTGCAAATATTTGGGCTCCACTATACAAATAAACGGCACAATATAAAAATAGTTAGAGTAAAATTAATCAAGGGTGGTTAAAGTGGAGATCTATCTGGAGTGCTATTTGACAAAATACCACACAAATAAGGGAAAAATTTACAGTTCCATATACAACCAACTATTATATAGTTCGGAAACATGGATGATTACTGGGGTAAAAGAAAGGATAAAGTGCGCAGTACAAGAATACAAGGAAGTTTAAAGGTAGTGCCCATTAAGACTAAGATGGTAAACAGACTTAGGAGTTATGGGCACACAATGAGAAGGCCTATGAACTACATAGGAAATAAAAGGTGAAAGCTAAAGAGAAAAAAAAATATATGAAACATTTTTAACACTGTAGTAATATAGGAAATATTTATTATATTCGTCAATATGGTTATAATGATTATATATATTTATGATTAATATAATATCGAGTGAGGTTAACTACCTAACACCCATAGCATCAATTATAATTTCCGCAATCGATTCTATATGATTAACAACCTTGTAAATTGTATATTAAAAATTGAATAAACCTGTTCAGTATAGTTTAGTATAAGCGGCTTTGTTTATTGGCGCAATCGACAGGATCCTAATATTCTAATTAAAACAAGTAAGAAAATAGTTTATTAATTGTTAAAAATTATGCCTCAAACCAAAACCAATACAGTCATAAATATAGATAAGATCGAAAAACTCCTGGTAAATGTGACAATCGAGCGTTGGTTACAGTTATATGACGCAAGAATGAGATTAAAAACTGGACACCGACCGAGCAGGAGAATAAGGACATGTTCATGGTGAGTTTTAGCGCTGAGGGCATTGACATTCTTAAAAATAATATTTCCCGAAACTATTCTAACTACTGAATCTGATAAGCTAAGAAGTATTTTACTACAAATTTTTGAACAGAATAAAACCATCTTTGGTAGTTGATTAGTCTTTATAAGGTTAATTAGGAACAACTCAATTGGAGAGTTTGCAAATAGGATCAAACTGCGAAAGCGTGAGCTGACGACCATTTAAGAGATTAAATGGTTGTGGGTATAGACCTGTCAGGCCTCGAAATTGATCTTAGGGCTAAATATCCATTAGCATTGTATAAACAAAGAACCGCCGACGTTCCAATTTGCGCTAGATATGGCAAACTGCAGAAAGAGTTGAGAGGCAATTAAGAAAGACATTGTGAATAGTGTAATCAGGCAGCTAAACATGATAAACATATAATGCCTAATTCACAAGAGTGTGTTAAAAGAGATAATAATAATTATAGGAAGCCTAATAGCAAGTTTTATGAAAATAAATATAAGAATTGTGCTAGCTGATATGAAAAATATTTATGCCCAGTTAAAGACAATTTTGAGTGCCATAGAACCGGACACTTCGCAGCATGCTCCCATATTAAGCCCGTATATCAGAATTTAAATTCAGTGAAACACACTTTCCCTCATGTGATTCAATAAATATCTTTGGATAGGTAGATTAAATAAAAGGGCAAAGATTACAGCCAAAATAAATGGACAATGTCACGTTTGACTATGATACGGAAGCAGAGCCTCCATTATAGGATTGAATATTTGGGAGAAAATTGGCAAACCCCTTCGCATAAACTCATTATCAGCCTATGGAGTTATGCCCTTGGATTTAATGGGCGATGACATGGTCCGTGTACAAGTGGAGAAGGAAAATCGTAAATTATCAGTTATTATAATAAAGTTGAATGATCTATCTCTATTTGGATTGCCATGGATTTTAGCATTTGGGTTTGAGTTACCGAGGTAAGCATACAACAGATTATCAAAACGAATAGGGCTACCGTGGGCCATTCACCAATTGTAGCAAGTTGCTATCAGTCCTATGATGCCCCGATTGGCCGTTCAAATACAATAGGTGCCTCCGCGGGCCGCGAAATGTCATTAACGGAATACTCAATGGGGACATTAGCTAAACTCAAAGCCGTTTTTAACATAAGTTGATACCTAATTTAGTAATGCTACTCCAGTTAAAAGATACGGCTGTTCCAAAATCTTTTCCAGCTAGTCGATTACCTTTTCCCCTACACAGATCAGTCTAACTAATACTAGCTCGCCTCGTTGCTGCGGAGATATTAGAGCCAATTGATTCCTCTATAAGTAGGATGCTATGGGCAACCCCAATGGTAAATGTCAGGAAGAACAATGGTGAGATTCGTATTTGCGCAGATTTCAAGGATAGTTTAAATCCCCATCTATTATATGATCATCACGTTATTCCAATGTTGGATAATTTACTGGTAAAGATTCGGGGGGGGGCTGATTTACATTGATAGATTTAATGGACGCATATCTATAAATTGCCGTGGAGCCAGAGTCCCAAGAATATTTGGTAATCTCGACGCATAAACGATATTTTCTATACCGAAGAATGCCGTTTTAGTTTTTGCGCCAACTATTTCCCAGCGTTTCGTGGACAATGTTTTGCAATATAGCCCGATGACTGGATAATATCTGGACGGTGTAATTATCTCCGGCAAAAATGACGCCGAACATCTGGCTAAAATGGTACTCGATAGGTTGCAGGAAGCAGGTCTCAAAGCTAAATTTGAAAAAGTTCAATATTTACGGAATTCTGTTTCATTTTTAGGTGTTGTTATCAACCAGATTGGGGTTACACCCAAGCGAATAATAAAAGCAATCCAGGCCGCACCTAATCCCAAGAATGTTCATCATTCATTTCTTGGTCTTGCACGTATCATGAACGGTTCATTCCTAATCTTCATAGTGAGGTAGCAATTACACCGATTGACTAGCTTAAAAGTACAATGATGTTGGACAATAGTGGCACAGGAGGTTCGACAAAATTAAAACACTCATATAAGCAGAAGAAACGTTAACGCTGTACAATGCTCAATTGCCGTTGATTTTGGAGTGTGATGCTGAGCAGTCTTACTTCATCGAGTTTCACAAAACCAGGAAAAACCCAGCGCATTTCCGTCTTAGTAGTTGTTGCAGTAAAAAAACAGTATGCTCCAAGTGATAAAGAAGCGTGGACACTACTGTTCAAATTAGAAAAATTTCATAGGACAGACCATAAGCCTTTGGAACGGTTGTTCGGCTGACTCGTTGGGCCTGGAAGATGACCGCATACAATTTTAACGTGGAATACAGAGTCGTAAAGCTCTTATAGTCGACGCATTATCTAGGTTACCGTTACGATTTATACCGAATCAAGATATAAAACACACATTGGCGATTCTTAATATCATAATAGAGGATATGCAGGTTTCAGAGGGAAACTTGCAAAGAAATTCGATATAAGATCCGATACTAAAATAAGTGGCACGACATACTGAAAAGGTTGGAGAGGATTTGATAGGAAGGAAGAACAGGATCTAGTGATTTTCCAACCCAGCGAGAAGTACTAACAGTAAACAGAGAAATAGTCGAACGGAATGGTAGATTGATAATGCCAACTAAAGTTAGGAATGCAATATTGAAGACACTACATCGGGGACATCCTGGAATAAACGCGATGAAATCTATTTTTCGGTTGTATTGTTGGTGGCCTAAGCTCTTTTTCCAGAACAAATCTTTTTTCTTATTAAATTTTTTTTTTTTCTAAGGAACACTCCGCTCAACACCGATTTTTAAATATTCTCATCAAAATATACGCAGAATGAATAAAGAACCCAACTTAAAAAAAGTTAGTCTCAGATTCAACGAAACTGCTTGGGCTCAAACTTTGCTTCCAACTAAATTTGGTTCCCCTTACGACCTAGCAATGACTTTTTTTATATCGAATAGCCTTTTGTCAAAGCAAATAACCTACACCCATCATTCTAAAGGAAACTCTTCTTTAATCGAGGCAATAAATTTTTGGATGGATCAATGCTGATTCTTATTCTCCCACAACCCTGGGGATACGCCTGTAGTTGCTCTCTGTTAAAATACTTATTAAGTTTTCAATCTACTGAACACAAACCGCACTATATTTTCTTCTCTGCTCAATGGTACCAGGCATGAATTTCTCGAAGCCATTCCTTCCGTCAATCTTCAACTTTCTAACAACGAACTTATCTATGATGCCATTAGTATTCATCTAAACTGCTCCATCACCTACCCTCACATGTTCTTAATTTATAACTTATCCGTGGACACGAACGGAAGACATAGTATACATTGTCGTCCTTGCAATGGTCGATTCATCAGGCACACACAATGTAACTCAATCATCCAACGAGCTTTGAAGGCATATTAATATATTTTTTATGGGGAAGATATAAATAAAATTTTTTTTTATATATAATATAAAATATATTAAATCATGTTATAAAGTGTTAAAATAAATTATTACTCAAAAAGAATTAATCTTCATAGATTAAAATTTTTAGTCAACATATTGCTATGAATTGAATTTATAAAAAAAAATCAAAAAAAATTTCTAAACCGATAAGAAAAGAGAGATGGTACTGTTAATCTTTATTTCTTTTAATAATTTGATAGGAATTTAAATATTATAAATGATAATAAAAATGATAATGAGGATTTATATTTTTGTTTTTTTCAATAAATATGCTTCATTATTATTTTTGTTACCGGTTATACTATATTCTGAAATATGATTTCATCAAATTTAAGTCGTATAAAAAAATTTTAAATGAAAGATATACATCTACCTCTTTGAAATTCAGCCTAGATATTATTTTTTATTTATTCCGATCTTATCTAATTTTTTAAGATAACATTATATCAAAAACAAATGGTAATTCGAAATAAAGGTGCTTTATTATAATCGTTAAAAATTTAGATAAAATCACTTCATAACATATCCCGTCAACTTGATATATCTACTCAGAGCTGTTACCTACAGATAGATCTATGCCATGGAACCAAAACTTTAGAGATCCAAAGAGTTCCCATCAACACCGTCGCTCAACACCAAAACTTATCATCGTTCCTTGAATTCGACCATCAGATGCGTTCCTCAGGCGACCTCCAGGGGGGATCCGTTACCAAGTTCAAGTACGTTATTGATTCATGCATCAATTTCCAAACGAAAATATGCCTTTTACCCCTCGAGTCCTATCTGACTTTCAGCTTAGTATTACCGCTCACCACCTCATCTTTGCCCGTTTCGGCTCATCCCTTATTTCCTTCCAACGATCCACTCTTGGGAATCGGTTTTAGTGGGGGAACCAACCAATTAGCTCCTCGTTCTGATTTAATCGGATGCTCACCGGTCTCTACCACTTTCTCCGTTTTCGATGAGCACGATACCATTAGGTCTGGGCCCCGTCTCATAACACTTCTTCCAAATCAGCGTAGCACGTCCAATTATGATGATGTTTCCGCAACCGTTTTAAATCCACAATACCCACTCATATCTACCACGCTGACCCCTCTTCTAGCCTCTGAAAGCCGGGAAAGGTCCGTTTCAAATTTTCATGCTCGTCCTATCTTGCTACAATTTGATCTTTTACATTCAGTGGACCGCTTTTACTTCCCACCCGATAGTCTTTCCGTAATGCAGTCTAATAGAACAATTTTTAATACAATAATGGATCAAACATGTATTGAACGAGACCTGCCGCTAGTGACCTTATCTTCTGAGAGCGATGAATTAAGTGATGGCAACAAAACTTTTACTATATTGGATAATAGCGATGAAATTGGTATAATCTAAATTTCAGAGTGTTTGTCTCATTTTTCTAAAAGGAACTAGTTATTCACAGTAATGGATTTTTTAAAAGAAGTTTAAAAAATCATATATTTTTGGTTTTAATCTGATTTTTTTTTAACTTCATATTTTTATAAATACACGAAAAAGTAAATCTTCACCATAACCTCAGCTATAAATAACTTTATAATCTTATTCTTTGTTTTTCTTTTTTACCCAATTATTTATATCTTTATTATTCAAATCGCCTTAAAACCTATTTTCTTTCCATATTTTCAAAATCTTAATCTCGCCTTTTAATCATTTATCTAATTCTTTATCTATTTATTTTCATCCATTGGATTGACAATCTTCTCATATCACAAAATTTAGGTGGATAATTCTCAACTAATCTTATATCAACTTCAGAATCTTTTAACATTCCTTTCTTTAAAAACTTCATGATATTTATTTAATATATCTTCTATTTCTTTGTGAAACCTCTCTTCAACAATTTCTTTATTTCCATTCTCCTGATTTAGTATTCAGTTGTTGACGTTTTTAGTTACCTCTATTAGATTTATATCTCTTAATATCTTCTCTTCTATTTTGCTTTTATATCTAATTAAAATCTCTGGTGATCGTTATCAAGAACTATCTCTTAATTAACTTCTAAATTAGATAACTTAGTCTTATTGCCATCATTTATTTCTCGATCTCTATTGTTGATTTTTTAAACCTTTTCAAACAAATTCCTATGTTCTTAATGTCGCTCCAACCTAGGCTTTGTCTTTAATTTAGTTTCACAAAGTTATCTCTTTGTTAATGTCTATCAATCTCATCTCATAAAAGCCTAAAATTTTAATAATACCGCCCAATTGTCTGGCTCTTATTCTTGCTATAAAATATTTTTCTTGTCAATATTTTATTCTTTAAAACTTATCAAGCTGACCTCTACTCTATCTTGCTTCTTTTGTTTTTTCTTTATTCACCAATTCTTCATTATTTTCTTAACAACTTTATCTTTAGACTCTTCTTGTTAATTCTCTTATTTATATAAAATTCAGACATGCAAAATTTACTTTATTTTTAAAATTAAATTCCGTTAGTCACTTGTCTTGTAAATGATCACTGTCCACATCTTAAACTTCTTATTTTACTTCTACAAATTACATGTCCATCTCGGCCACACTTCACGCATTTAAAATCTTCCGTCTATTCACATGCCGTGAAATATGTCCTGGTTGCCCACAACTGTTACATATTTGTTCCTATTTTCTCTTCAATTCTTATCTCTTCTATAGTCTTTCTCTCTATTTTTATTTATTGTACATTTCTTCTTGCCCTACAGTAAAACTTAGAAACATTGGAATTTTTTTTAAAATTAATTTTCGCCGCATTTTCATATTGGAATCCTTGATTGGATCGGAAAATTTTATATTTGTCGATAACCAATATTTTAAAATGGGTGGAATATCGGCTCGATCCGATATAAAATATCGGTACATCCCTAGGAAGAATTTGAAAGAGGAATTAATAATTAATAACTTTTTAAAATAACGACTATAATTCAATTTTTTTAAAAAAAAAGCATTTTAATATATAAAAGTGAAAACCCAATATTATTTTTATAATCAAAGGTCAACAACTTCAGTAAATTTATGGGAAAAATAAATTCACCTAATAGTGTTTCCCCTCTCCTTAGCAAAATCCTAGATACCCCTATGAATGTACTTAATAAATATCTAATCAAAATTATTCAATTTTGCTAGTATGATTTAAAAAAATTACAACTACTAAAAAATTATAACTTCTAATCATTAATTTTTTAAAACCTTTTTTCTTTTTTTAAATATTGTAATTAGACTGAATAAGAATGCCTTAATCATTATCATTTTTTTGAAAAAGATTTTAATATTATATATTAGCACCACTTATATTATGTCAAAAGGTGCTAATTAAATTATTGAAATTAATTTTAATAATTTGATTTTAAATTACACAAAATACTATTTTGTTCTAATTTTATCCAAAAAATGAAATTTTTTTTAAATATTAAATAATATCATAAGTCGAACCAGGACACACCCTAAGTTTTCTTTAGCCATTACCTTCTTCCACCCTTCTTTAATGGCCTATTGGGATCTCATCTCATTAGGAAATATATAAATATAACACCTATAACAGCTTCAAAATTATATTTTTTTAAAATTGGGTATACACGAGCAAAAGCCCATCATCCAGTCCTCGTGTAAAAGAAAGAATATGATCAAAAATTTGTAAGGGTGCTCAATGATTAGAGGCCTGCACGGGTTGTCCAAACCTGACCCGAGCCTCGAGTTGGGTTCGGACATAGAAGATTTTTTCTTGGCCTCGGTTCGGGTTTTAGGAGGTGTTCGACCCGATAAATAAATATTAAAAATGCATATCCTTTTGTTTTATAAAAATGTCAATTAGAATAACTGATATTGATATGTTTTTTCAATATTTTTTAGAAATTTTTTAGAAATTTTTTCTATATATAAAGAATTATTCGACATCAATCATACAAATTATTTTTATATTAATTACAATAATTAATAAATTCGATTGTATTTTAACTTTACTTATTATATTTAAACGGAATAAAATTTATATATACACAAATTAAATAAAATGCAACTTTATATGAATATGTATATTGATTAGAATATGGGGGTTAAATATACTTTTATTTAGATGGCAATATGAAATACACATAATTTTTAATTGTTTCTTAGATAGTATAATATTTAAACTCAAATTATAAAAGCAAAAGTAAGACTGAGGTAGGGTTGAATCTAACAATGTATGTTAGGGTCGGGATTGACAGATTTTTATTTTTTTTAGTTAATATCTTATTTTTTTAGAGTATATTTTATTTTTCATAAAAAACTTAAATTTTAACAATAAAATAAATGTTTATGAAATTTGATGTATAAATATTAAGTTGCAATAAAAAGTTTAAATTTTTAATATAAAAATTATTTTATTATTATTTTTCAAAAAAAACCTTAAATTTTAATAATAAAATTAATTTACCTCTATTATTTTTCTAAGGATTTCTGGAAGGATTTTTTAAATGGTTTTTCCCCTTTGTTTTTAAAAATTTATAATCTTTAAATATAATTTTTGAAAAAAATGTTATATAACGAAAGATTCGCGCACTTTGCTCCAACCTTCTGTCTTGGCTGATATTAAACATGCTCTACATAAATATGAGTGTCTCTTACCTTTGGCAGAGGACGAAGCGGAAACTATTTGGGACAAGCGATGCGTTTTGCTGCAATTGTTACCCCTGCATCTCTGCATCCCGCTTGTTATTGCGTCATCACATTCTTGGGCCTGGACGAACGCTATACATGTGTACCGATTTTTGGACGAGTCTTCGGTCCCGAAACGAATTAAAATAAAGGAAAAAAACTCGATAGGTGAAATAGATGTCGGTAATTTGGGTTCACATTCCTTGGACATAAACTCTTGGCTCTTTTTGCTTCTTCCCGAGTTTTAAACACATGAGAAATTTTTACATATATAACTTAAGTCATATTATTAATTTTATTACTTTTTAAAAGTCCCAAAAATTTTAAAATTCCACTTTTTTTAACGTTTCATTTAATAAAATTTTTAAAAATCTTATGATTTTAGCATTTCTCAGTCTTAACTAGAGGTCTATCTATATCGCTTTTCCACTACTAGTCTTAGCATTTTTTTTAAAGTTTTAAATATTTGGTTCCTCTATTAACTATTAAAAACTTTAAAAGTGGATTGTACCTTTAAAAAGTCATCAATAGAATTTGCCTACTTGATTTCTTTATTTAAAAGAACTTATTGTTTATTGGAATTTATATTTATTGATTATATAATTAGAACAAATTTTAAAATGTCTAACCCAAACAAAATATAATAGTTCCATGGAAGCTATAGTAGTTCCCACTAGAGATCTGCAAAAATAGTCCCTGACCGTCGGGCTGGGCCTATTATTTTAAAAAAAAAATTGTGTTCGGACTGGGTCGGGCCTAATATTTTTTAAAAAATTTGGACCGGGTCGGGATAGAAACCAGACGCCATATAACATATATCTTTTATTTTGAGTAATTATAAAAATTAATTTCTATATTTAAATAAATTCGGGTTCAGGCCGGGCCGGCAAAACTTTTTAAAAAAATTCCGGGTTCCAGCCAGGCCGGCAAAACTTTTTTAAAAAAATTTCGGGCCGGACCGGGCTTGAAAAATTAAACCTGATGCAGATCAATAGATCCCACGACAAATGTTTATTTTAAATGATCCTGAAATAGCATGATTTAAAAGAACTGGGCTGGACATAAAAAATTTATATTTACAACCCAGAAAGATAAGATTTAAAATAATAAAAAAATTCTAACCCGAGCCGGATCATTTTATCAATTTTGAAACATTTACCTTCAGCCTCATCATGGCGGGGGAGGGGAAATGTCTTTTGGCGGCTAATAGAGTTTTAAAAGGTTCTTGTGGTCTGGGTCAAGAAGGATTACTGTCTCCTCGGATGGGTGTAAAACCCATCTAAAGGGGTTGTTGTCAGGAAGGGCATCCGATTGTAAAACCTTGTTTCAAAATTTCCTGATGATTGCAACAAAGCATGGGCAGGGTACAACCCAAAGTACTCCATGGGCCTCCTCATCAGCCTACTACAAAAAGAGGGATGGGAAACCTGGTGGGACCATGATTCGAAATGAAATATATGACGGCCATCAACCTGATAATATGTTTAGAAACCAGTTTACGGGAGAATAGAGTAAGAGTTGACATGGAATGTTGAGAGCATGAAGGGAAAAGCGGGTGAAGTGGTCGATACACTGCATAGAAGACATATAGATGTGTGTTGCATACAAGAGACGAGATGGAAAGATAATAGTGCAAGAATGATTGGTAGGACAAGTAAAAACGATAAGTTTTTCTGGCAAGGAAGTAATAATAATAAGGCTGGTTGCAGAGAAATGGGTGGACAAAGTAATCGAGATTAAAAAACTAGATAACCAGATAATGATTATCAAGATGATTTTTGGTAGAAAGTTATGAAATATTATTTCGGCATACATTCCTCAAGTTAGTGAAGAAGAGAAAAATACATCTTGGGACAGTCTTATGGAGGTGACATCGAGACTGGCAAATGAAAAGGGAATTATCCTGGCTGGTGATCTGAATGGACATGCGGCGAGTAGTGAGTCTACATGGTGGATTTAGTTACGGCATGAGAATTCTGGAAGGGGAGTTTATATTTGGTGATGCGATGGATATGATTATAATACAATGTTTAAGAAAAAATCAGAGAAGCTGGTAACTTACATGTCAGATAGTGCTAAAAGTGAGGTGGATTATTTGTTAGTAAGTGTGATAGGTGCTTAGTAAAAAATGTGGAAGTGATATCGGGAGATCAACTAGTTATAGGAAAACTCACTTTTAAAAATGCCAGGATTACTAAAAGACAGTTTATGCCAAGGCTGATTGTTTGGAAATTGAAGAAGGAGAGTGCTAAACGTCAATTTAATATGACATTGGCAATAAGAAAGGAGGAGGTGACAAGCATCTGGGGTAAATGACAAGTGGGTAGCCATGAAGAAAGCCTGGGTGAGGACAACTGAGGGTGAATAGACAAAATGGCCACCTAAACACAAGGAGACATAGTGGTGGAATCCGGAGGTAGCGAAAGCTATGGGCGAGGAACGGAGGTGTTTCGTGCTTCGAATGGTATAATAATAAAGAAAATAATGTTAACAATATTTACAAGGTGGTGATAAGAAATACCAATATATTAATAGCGAAAGCGCTAGAAGAACAAAAGCAGGACTTTGCTATAAATATGGAAAGCACAGAAGGAATAGGAAATGTGGTCCAGATGGCAAAAAAGAGGCAGGATGTGGTAGTTGTTAAATGTTTGAAAAATATGGAAGGAAAAATGGTGATTGATAGTGGTGGTATTAAGAATACCTGGAAGATCTTGAAAGGACTTGAACTAAGAGAATGACTGGCATAATGTTGTTAGTTATGCAAAGGTGATGGTCTAAATTTGGCAAAAACGAACTAAGAGAGCATTGACAAAGATTAAAAAAACGGAAGGCAGCGGTTTTAACGAGAGTGTTATCAAAAATATCTAAAGGTTCTGATAACTTAGGGATTGAATTAAATGAATTTAGCCAATCTATTGTCACCAGGGTTGCCATGTCTCTCCCCATCAGCAGGAGACTCCCGCAATTTTTTAGTTTACACGCAGACATCTCTCTCCCGCAAAAATACCGCAATTGGTAATCTACCGCGATTTTTTAATTTCTCCCGCATTTTTTTTTTAGTATTTTAACGTTTTTAATATATAAATAATAATTTTGAGAGACAGTAATTGATTATTTTTATATTTTTATAAATTTTAAATATTTATTTTAAAATGTCCAGTTTGTAAATTTCTTTCTATCCTGTTTTATTTTTATCCAATAAAAATATTCTCCAAAAATAATAAATAATACAGATGCAACTACAGTTGCGGAAATCGTATAAAACTATCATGTAGTTCAACATTCACAGAGCTATATCATCACAATGCGGGTCGAATCTTTCCCATATATTTAACGACTCCAATATAAGTTCAAATCTTACTTGTGGTAGAACAAAAATGAGCAAGGCTATCACAAGTGTTCTAGTACCTGAATCCTAGAGGTCAATTCTAGACGATTTGAAAGATGGGCATCCATATGCAATTCTAACAGATGCATCTAATAAGGGAAATATTAAACATTTCCCTTGATCCTTCACTATTTTAACATGAATAAGAATATTTCAATAAAACTGTTAAAAAATTTTTCCTTGATAGGGAAAAGTCCAACGATGTAGCTAACCACATAATGGTAAATATAGCTGATTCAGGGTTATCAATGATTTGCATGTCAGCTTTCTGCACTGATAATGCCTCTGTAAATTTTGGCAAAAACTAAAGTGTATTACCGAATTGAGGCAGCACAATAATGAATCAATACCAATTGGCAGTATATGCCATATACTACATAATTCTTGCAAGAAGTCAATGAATGTACTATCTGTAGATGTCGAAATAATTGTGATGAAATGTTTTAACGAATTTAGTTCAACTAAAAGAGTTAATGAATTAAAAGAGTTGGTGGAGTGGTCTGACTTGGAATGGTGTGAGTTGTTGCGATATGTTCCTAATCAGTGGTTATCATTAATACCTGCCATCGATAGAATTTTAAAATTTTACAAATCCTTAAAAAAATACTTCTTTAATAAAGATTTTAAAAGCTGTCCAAAAATTTTTAAAAATTTTTTCGAGTATGAAATGGCAAAAGCATATTTGGGATTAGTTTCACCTGTAGAAAATCTACTTCATGCAGTTAATATTCAGTTGCAATCAAAATATTCTTTATTAATAAAGATTCACAAAATCATGCTACAACTCTGTTCATCTCTACAGTTAAAAATTGATAATAAATTTTATGGCGCTATTGCTAAAAATATTATATTAAAATGATCAAATAATACTCTAATTAATATATTTTTAAATGAAACAGATATTTTTATTAAGACAATTTTAGAATATTTACAATCAAAATTTGATTTTAATAACTCTATTTACAAATGTATAAATATTATGACCTTGGAACAGAAACCATCAATTGATGGTTTTTGTAATTTAATAAATATATTAAAAATACCGAAAGACATTGATGTCTTGTTAGAGGAGATTGTAATTCTCTCTATTTTTTATGATTCGCCAGAATACAAAGTTAGATGGTCTAAAAGCAGAGGGAAAATATGTAGAATTTTTTCGTAATAACAATAAATCCCCATGCTTGGAAAAAATATGCCAATATGTCTTCTCCTTACCTCATTCTAATGCCTCATCCGAGCGCATTTTTAGCCTGATGAGAACTGTCTGGAAAAAGGAGAGAAATCAGATTGCTTTAACAACATTAGAGGCCGAGCTAATGGTTAAACAAATTTATAATATGTCATGCCAGAAATTTTATAAATATCTCAATAACGACGGTAAACGTTTAGTTCCATTATTTAAATCTCATATAAAATATAATTAACATTATAACTATTTAATTTTTCCCATTTTTTCTATATTTTATAAAATCGTATTTATACATTCGCATAAAATAAATATATTTTTTACATTGTAAATCAAAAATGAGAGCATTACAATCTCCTCAAACAATACATTAATGTCTATCTGTATTTTTAAAATATTTGAACATTTTAATATAGTTTTAACAATGGCATCATAAAATTTATTGTCAATTTTTAACTGTAAAGATGAACACATCTGCAGTATAATTTTATGAATCTTTGTTAAGATTCTTCTGATTGCATCTGCACATTAACAGCGTGTAGTAGATTTCCTACATGTGAAATCATTCCTAAATATATCTCTGCCATTCACTATTGAAAAAAATTTTCAAAATGAGGACAGCTTTTATAATCTATATTTAAGAAATATTTTTTTAAAGGTGTAT